CACGTCTACTACGGCGGAGACCGTTCCTCACCGCTCCGTAGAACGATGGATAGCTCTGCGTGGTTGTCCCCTGACTGTCAAGTCTGACCGAAGACAACAATTCGAGTCCGCATTATTCTCCTCATTGACCAGGCCGCTTGGTACGGAACACATACGCACTACCACCTACCACCAAGTTTCAAATGGTTTAGTTGAAAGGTTTCATCGCCAACTTAAAAGTGCTCTACGAGCACACGAAAACGACAACTGGTACGAAACCTTACCGCTGGTCCTCTTAGGCAGCAGAACGAGCTTGAAGGCAAATGTCCTATGTCTCGCCGCTGAACTTGTATACGGTATGACATTGCGCTTGCCCGGGGAATTCTTCACACCGCGGAGCAGACCTGATTTCGGCAAATCAGACTACGTCCAACGATTGTCTGCATTTGTGAGAACGCTGCATCCGTTGTCCACTTGGATACAACATCGACAGGTCGCTCTCCCTCGAGAGTTATCACTTGTTCACATGTTTTCATACTAGTAGATTCGGTACACACACCTTTGCAACAGCCTTACGAAGGCCGTTTTCACGTGATCGCTCGTCACGAAAAGACCTCCAAGGTTGATCGACATGACCGCGTCGAGATCGTCAGCATTGATCGTCTCAAACCAGCACACGTCAATGACAGTGCCCTATCTGATAAATTGAGACTCAATGCTAGACCTATCAAACCTACTAGCAGGATCCCTAAATATTTTTCAGATCCCACGCTAGATACATTTGAGACCTCATTCTCACGTCCCGGTCAACAGCACGTGTCATCTGCACCATCTACGGACGAGACTTTAGTCTCACGTCCAGATCAGCAGACCACGCCGTCCTTGACTTCGGATGAGATTGCAGGCTCGTGAAATACGAACGAGACCACAGTCTCACGTTCTGGTCGCCGAGTACACTTGCCCGTACGCTTTCGCGACTAACTGCAAAGTCAATAACGGATATTGTGCAGGACTATTCCTATACTACATGCATGCTACACGTTTTTCTTTTTTTGATTTTTTTCGTATCCTAAGCTCACGCCTCCGACCATCGCCCGTTTGGTATCGTCGACTTCATTCAACCTTGACGAAAGCTTGCCTGATCACCCAAGCTTTTGTAAACGCACTCAGTCGATATTTTGCTCTCGAATGTTTGGCATACGTGTGGCCTCAAACCTGGTTGTTATGGTCGTTTCTGGTTCCTTGGCTCAACGTGGTTTCGTCCTACGTCTGCAGCGTTTTTTGGTTCGGAACCCCACGAACGCAATCTTTAGATCCTGGATAAAAACCACTCCGGTGTGGTGTGTCAACTCGAGCAACAAATACAGCATACTGATCCTAGTACCATTCTCCGTAAAAGACTTTCGTTTGAAACTCGAGGATCAGTGATCGCTTCCTGTTCCGCCAATCTTTTCGTCCCACAACCGCACGTTTGCCAATCAGTCCCACGAATCAAACCGCTACTTATCGAAAGTGTAAACCGATTCCGCTTGTACCTTGTGGCGTCGATTCGTGGTTGGCTATGATCAACACCACAGAAAGACTACGTGCCCGTTAACTGATAAGATCCCCCGTAGGTAAAATATCAGAAGGCAGTTGATGGCTGTAGTCAAGATCTATTTGTTGGCGATCTCGTGGTGTCGAAGGAATACCGAGATCGTGTAAGGTTACAAGTGAGGTTACTGAGTGTAACCGAATTCGTGCAAGATCACAATCAACGGAAGAATGTATGTATTTTGGTACAGTTGAACTCACAAGTACGGTAAAACAATTCTTGGTACAATTGGTTATAATAATAATTGTTTCCATTGCACCAATCGCTTTCTCTTGATAAAAGTAGGTCACTACAAACTTATTTGGTAATTTGTTTTTATTGTTAGTTGTTTGTTTTTCATTTCGCATAATTTGTACGCTTACCACTACTGACTGTAAAATTTTTATTTAAAAGAACTTGGCGTTGATCTTTCGATCCCACTCTGTACTATTATAGCATGAAAAATCAGTTGTCTCTAACAAAACACTGCTGCACTCACATACTACGCTTTCTCACTAATCGGCTGTTACGATAAAAGAACTCTGATGTACTTGCTATTTTTACTGATCGTATTGATATTCTCACTACGTGATTACTCTGGATACACAATTGGATTACATCAAACATATTTGGAATCATTGACTACTTATAAATGTGTAGTACGAGACCAAAAACAATTCCAACACATCTTCCGAAAATTAAATTACCGTTCAGTATTTTTCTTTGTGTATAACCCATGTTTCAGTATATTAACATGCTAATGTTTTTCGTAAATGGTCCACCATAACCCTAAATAATGCAACTTAATATGATTATTATCTCTACTTAAGTGTAAGATAGTATGTTACAGTAAACATTCCCTGATAAATCTCGATGTTGATAAGTATTAGAACTTTAATAACTAGCTCAGTTACTGAACATAACTAGACAGCTAGGATTATAATCAGCAATCATGGTTCGTTAACAAGCGTTAACAGAAGGCAAGTGCTCCTGTGTTGTATGCTTGCTAAAATATCAACCACTTGGAAGTATTACCATACAGCAATGCGAATGTACATTTGCCTGCACATTATTCACCACCATCCTAGGTTTTGTAAGGATTGTCTATCCAACCACTGATACGTATTTGGCCTGAACTATTTTTTCACCTATACCAAACCATTCTGCAAATCCAGGAGGTAACTCCTTATTATATCGTATATAGTGCAGATTCTCTTGGATTGATGTCGTTTTGGGGGCTCCTTCAAATTTTCTTGATGTCAAAGTGACAATGACACAGGCTAGTTTCATAGTTGTATCGAATGTTCATCTGCTTAGCATGTTTAATGACCTTTTGTAACTAATTTCACACAGATTAATCTCATATTATACTACTTCCACAGGGTGGTACTCGAAATCCCATTTGTTTATACATCATGAAGCGATATACTATGGAAAAACGTGACGCATGTTCACAAATCATATTAGTTTAGGCATAAACTACATGTTTCTTATTATCACCGTACGTACCACATTAACCAAAGCCAGGCAATAAGCCTTTTGCGACAACCTTTTACAAAATGACTGAGGGAGGAATCTAAGCAAGGACACTTCTCCTGGCCTAGGTGTGGTTTACTCTTTAATTCTGAGAGAAGTGGCCTTGACCTTGGAAACACCCCCTAGTGTTGAATCCTCACATACCCTGTGTCGAAGCATGATTTTAATCAATTGAAAGCTAAAGCGCATCATACCACTGTTCAAACGAGGCCGACTCAATGACCCTTTATCTACCGGCCGATAGCTCTCCTCTTGATGTTCACTATCATGGAGTCCCTGATATGAGACAGCCTGAGTAGCTACTTTTTACTTTTTAGATTCCTTACACCCCGACAACATGGTCTCAGGAAGGACTGCTCCTATATGATCAACCTGATGACTGAGGTTAACAGACGGAAAACCATCCTTATTTGAAAGGATATGTTGGGGCGATAAACTTTGATTTCTCTATAGCTTTTGATAGGGTTAACATAATGTCTCACTAAACCACCAGTAGTAAACTGGCTTACTTCATGACTAAACAATCTATATTTTAGGCTCAGATTAAACTTCACTTTTTCTCAGCCTAAAAAATGTCTTAGTGGAACATCTCAAAGTTCAGTGCTAGGACCTCTTCTCAGTTTATATGAATGACCTCCATCACAGATCTAAGTTTGGGAGCGTAGTATATAATCAATATGGTAAAATGACATTTCAAGAGGACCTGACTCGGCTTTAAAGATGAGCGGATTACAATGGACTTACTTTCAACTCTTCAAAGTGTAAAGTAGTCCATCTGAGATATTTTGTCAACTACCTATACAACTTAAGCAAAGCTCATATGTAGGTATCAAAAGTTGCAGAATATTTAAGAGTATTGGCACTCTAACATCTTAAGTCCAAAAACAAATATAACAAAAAAGTTTTTCCAGCAAACCTTGTACTAATAACATTGAGGAGCACTTTTGGACAATTCGACGGTAGAACTTTCTATTCGATCTTCAACACCATCTATGGCATGGAAACGTAGTGGTTCCTCCCTCATTCAGAAACGAAAAGACATGTTGGAACGTACTCAACAGCGCGCCATGAAATCAGGCTGAGGATCAAATGTAAGCTTTATGAACAGATCCTCCAACCACCGAACGTTTAATCATTAGAGTAATGGCGTCTTAGAAATGACCTTCTAGTGAATTACAGAATCCCAAACACTATTGGGTATCCCGTTAAATGCCTACCTAATCACAACTCCAACGCAAACCTTAGAAGCAACACCCTAAAATTGTCGCTGAGGATGAAACAGGTATTCAGTGTTTGAAAACGCTTCTACCAGTAACACCATCTAATATAATTTGTTCCCACCGAGAGAAATCAAAAGACAGAGTCGAGGAGATCAGAAGAGTGTATTTGGCGATAACCAATATATCGGAATTCTCTGATCTAATCTGGCTAACGATTACGGTAGATGTTGAGCACAGCGTTACCACATGTGATCTGGTGCGGATGCATGACCGAGCGCCTTGAGCTAGATGAGTCCACTAAAACATATGGTCAGCATCCAATGTCGAAAACTTACAGAGCTATTTATTTTTGGGGGGATTTATTTAACGCTACATCGCCATAACATGGTATAATAGACTGTAGGCACACATTCTAGTGCTAACGAGTAGCCATATTCTAGAATTCACTTTCAGATAAAGTGGTTCATTCGACTTCCTTGGAGTATTTCGTTGACAGACTTGACATGTTCTTAAGGACTCTGAATGGTATCTTAGCATAATTTACTTCTATTTCCTTTCCGTCTGTAGTTTTCTATATGTTTCTACTTGAATTCATTGGTGGTCCGTTTCTGGTGCATACGGAGGCTTATTAGATGGAAGCCTATTCTAATCCGTCAACATCCATTTGAACAATTGGAACCGAGAATTCTTTTACTTTTACCCGCTATATTTCGAAGTCCTGAGTGACCTTGGGGAAGTAACAGTGCGTTCACAACATCATTGTTTTCTATCCACCTTCTAGATCTTCTTAGGATTACGATAACAACATTTAACAGGAACAGATCTCATATTTGAATTTACCGTCACAACCTCATAAGCAGAATTGTCTTTGGCTTATGAGCTAATTAGGCTCGGTGTATTTGTTAACTTAGCTAGTTGCCTTATCTATAGACTTTTAGCTAGTAATTAGATTGAGACAGTAAATCATGCTTTCCTGTAACAAATACCAAGCGCAACATCAACCTTTGGCTAAACTATCTGTAAGAGTGAGTTCATAATTATTCCCCAAACAGACGATATATCGTCTGATTGATGTAGTTAAAGCCTATATTAGGTCACAGTAAATCCTAATTGTTTTTGTTAGCTTCACACCACGATGCAGGTTTAAAATCACTTGTGTTTTGCTAGTAGGTTAATAAGTTTCACTATTGTCCTTTTCCTCTTCTGCCAGCCTAAACATGTCCTTTATAAATTCAGTTATTTTAGGTATTTATTTACTTAAGCACACAAACATTGGTACAAGGAGGCACCAAATAGATATGTGCCACGTAAATCATTCGATTTGTGCGAGGGCTGGGATACTGCCTGGGTGCCGAAGCAGGTATTTTAGATATCGTGACACTTACGTCTAATTAGCGATATATATCAGTTTCAAATGACGAGTCACTCGTTTCCTAAGAAAAAAATTTCTGACAGGTTGTTTACTGGTATAGTAAATTCCTGAATAAATTCGACAATTCACGTTCCGAATAACAGATTTAGGAGGATTGAGGTTTGTTCCAAAGATAAAGATCCAAGGCTTCTAATTTATTGTTGTCTTACATTTGACTATCCTACCAATCATGGACAAGTAATACATTCAAACCATTCTAGATAGAAAATAATACATTTTGCTACTACCTTCTTAGTAAATAACTGACTATTATTAAGTGAAATAGTGTTATAAAACTAAATCACTCGTGAAAATCTTAAGTATGACTTCGACTCCAGTATACATTTTTTGTGTTATTTGTTTGTTTCATATTTTTTATCTTTCTAACCCAGCATATAGACAACTGGAGATGTCAGACGATGTTAAACTTTCTACCGAGCTTAACAAAATCGTTTTGTCGGAAAAATGTCAAAGTGAAGAGAAATGTAGGATATAATTTGCCGATCTTCTAGACTTTTCAGTTCAGCCAATTGAACCTCTATTCAAAGATATGCAAAATGGAATCACTTTTCGGCAGTATATTGGCGAATCAGATCTAAACAATATTATCCATCTCATTGCTAGCGATCTCTCCGAACCTTATTCTATATATACTTATCGATATTTTATATATAACTGGCCCAAACTGTGTTTATTGGTTTGTCTTGTGGATTTGTGTTAATTGTCGAACTGTGAAGGCTGTTAGTGAAGACGGAACTTGTGTGGGCACAATTGTTTGTAAAATGGAAGGTGCTATAGGAACTGTTCGAAAAGGATATATAGCAATGCTTGCTGTTGAAGAAAATCACCGTAGAATTGGCATCGGTTTATCGCGTTCTATTTTAATTAATTTTTATCTAACGTAGGATCACGATTGGCTCAACTTGCAATCGAACTTATGATTCAAGATAAGTGTGATGAAGTGAGATGACATTTTCAAAATTTTTCTTTTTACATTTGTATAAACAGTATCATTGTACTGTTTTCACATTCATCCGATCCTTTTCTGTCATGTTATTATTTGTTACTCATCATTATCCGAGATATTCATCAATATTAAAATTTGATAACAATCATAAATTTTCAGAATAATCGAACAGCGTTGTCCTCCCTTCTTTAACTATAAAATAGGCAATACTCAGCGTAATCCTAGTGGTCGAAGCATTCAACCTCCAACTCCATCGGAACCTCATCTCAATTTCACTTTAGTCAGCTGAATAGTGTTTTTAGCCTTCCTGCGAAATGTATTATTCAAAGCTGGATACACAACTTCCCTAATTGTTAAGTTGCACTAAATTCTACAATATTTGTACTCGTTTAGGCATATAGTTTTATTACAAAGGAATCTCTAATAGGAATTTGGATTTCCAGAGGATTATTCAGCCTAGACCGGTGTGTGCTTTTACATAAATAGGCAAGTGGAACGTTTACTTCTTCCAGTTTATTTTCCATGCTATCTTTACAAAATAGGGGACACCACTACTGTTTCATTCCACTTTATCCACCCGCGCTATGTCATTCAATCATTCATGCTAAGAAAGTCGCTAATTTTCCTTTAAAAACTCCCCAGCCTGTCGTAATCTTTTCAGTGATATAAATCAGTTGGTTATAATCAGCGTGAAGCCTGACACAAGTGTACGTTAGCCCAATTCTTTATACCGAATCAGCATCACGGTATTAATCAAGTGAGCCATCATAGTAGGCAAGGCTGGCCTCTGCATCGAGGTAATACACATCGAAGTGGTACTGATTTGTTGTTGTGGTAAAAGTCGTAAACCTCATCGTAAATACTACTCATCAGTTCTCAACAGCTTTTCATCGGATTTCTAAATTCTTCGTATGATAAACTCTCATATGTTTTTATACTTCACTTCTTGTATTGTTTTAGATCTCTTTAGAAGCAGAAGTTGACAACAAAGCAGCCCTTTCACTTTATGAGCAGCTGGGATTCTACAGAGATAAAAGGCTTCTTCGTTATTATTTAAATGGAAGAGATGCTTTTCGGTTAAAATTGTGGCTTACGCCACGTATGACCAATGGTCTTTTATAGTTTCACTGTTCACTTATTATGTATTTGACTTATTGGTCATTGTAAATACTTGCTTTATTTTCGTTAAACTTGCGGAAATTAGTTTTTTTTTGGTTTACGTTCACTAAAATTCCGTCCACTAAGAGATATCATATAATATGTAAACTGAATGTTCATTTCATTCTTTAAAATACATAGTAATCCTGATCTATATGTGTTTTTATCCGATGATAAATCTGTTTAATGCACATGAAAACGGATTCTCAATTTGTTTGTTTTAAAAGTCTTTTCGGTTGTAGAGTGAAACTAACGATATTCATAGAATAGTTAGCAAAAATGTCCGTGATGAAATAAGTAAATACCCCTGTTTTTTGTTCCGAAACATACCAAGCTGTTTCTGGTAAAGGTTATCAACAAATAATCCTGAATCAACGTACATATCACGTTTTACCCAGAAACCACATTTCGGCTGAAATTTACGTGGCAACTGTAATTTTGTCGGGTTTCCAGAATCCGAAATTACCATTAAAGCCATACATATTTCAAGTATCTTGCATGTACTTGATTTGTATTGCAATTGCATTTTACGGAGAGATACGTACTTACGTATTATTAAATTAGTGTATGCTTCATAGTTTTCTAGTCAGTAATTAATATTGTTCTTTTGTGCATTTAGTGATCTATAGGCAATGGACAGATGCCTGTTTGGGCAAGGAGGATTTCACGTGCGTTTAATGTAAGAGTAAACACTCGAAATTTAATAGGTCTTATCAATATCAAAGTTTGGCTAAATTTTCATGTATAAAAAGTTTTATTCCTAACACTTTATAACGACATAGCCATTTATTTAATAAATCGTTAAGCTCATCTTGTTTATTCATCTCATGTTAAATATCATTGGCTGTTTTTGTAGCTGTTGGTGAATTTCATTGAGTGTTCATTTATTTCTATTAGCAAGTAGGCGAGATCACTATTATGGCGTTGGCACTTCGGTGCAATAAGTGAATTCGTAAAACCAAGTGCTGATTTTAGAAGTTTGTATTTGTTATAAACCCTACTTTTGAGTATCAAGTAAAACTCGAAGATAACTACTATTAAGATCAAGTTGTAAATTAGATGTAAAGCTATATGATGTCCGTTCAATATGATATATTTATTACTTTCCTAATTTAAAGTGTCATCAAGTTCTTAGGCAAAATAAAATGATCCCACTTTGTTTCCATAAGTTCTCATCAACTGTTTGCAACCCGTGTTTTTTTCAAAATTCAGTCAGTCAGTATCAACGTAGAACTTCGTACGTACGTACATCAGTTCGAGTTGCCACACCACATTAGCACAGAGATGCAGTGGTCAATTTAAATCCCGTAGTGGTAGAGGTAATAAGAGTATAAGCAGTAATCGGGAAGATTGGTGTTTGGAGATGTTATTTAAAGAGTATAATACAGTGAAATAAATTTGGGAAAAAAAGTGACAAGGAGGAATAAGGAGATCAAAATTTGGGAGAACACAAAGAGTGTATGCACCTGCGCCATTGCAAACGATTTCGAGCCATGTCATTCAGGGTCTCTAACCATCGGTTGCTATCATCTCGCGGTCCCCAACCAGGTACTCTACACCTACCGACATGACTCAGACCACTTGTCAGTGACTTCATGGACTTGTGCCATGTTTTGGTCCGGTCGTTCCTAGCTTTCTTCTGACCTACTCCTATACCACTGAACATCACACGTCGAGGTAGTCGGTCGTTGGGCATGCGTAACACGTGTCCCAGCCATCTCAACTGATGAAGTTTCACTACGTCATCAATTGATTTGCCATCCTTACCTAGTACCCGTTTCTTAACAACCGCATTACTTACTCGATCACAAACTAGATTAGTTTTACATAAATCTAGTTGCAAGTTATCTCAAACACATATTATCATAGTACATCAGAAATGCAGATCCAATTAGTGGGTTATCTATTTGCCTGGCTAAGTATTGTGATAATGAATAGAAATTTCTTCATCCGATTAGTCGTTAACTCCTAAGACTTTACTTTGATAGGATTTACTGTATTGTTCGCTTCTTTGGTACAGATACCACTGTTACAAAATTATTATTTTACACGGGACCCTAGTTATGTGAAATTGATGTGGATGTCCTCAGTTAATCCTATTCATTATACAACAGAAGTAAGCAAAATGAGTTTTATTTATGACTAAGCATTCACAAAAACCCCAGTGAATCAGTTCGTGGAAGTATATCTAGCGCCAGAGTGATTAGTAAATTATGTATTTTGTTCAGCGACGATAACTGAACTAATTGAAATAGTTGATATACGTGAGGATTTTCACCAGAAACCCTAAGATTAGCTTTAAAGTTGGGATTTAGCCTGGGTTAGATCTCACTTCTCTTGATAAAGAGTCAACCAGATGATCCGAGGTCATTCAGTCATATAGTTGTTCTTTCTCCCAAAAGTTAAGTTTGAATTACGCCTACAAAGTTGCTGGTTATCATCGTTGTACGAGATCATGCTTAATAATTTGAAATTGAAACTCGAAGACCTTATAGTTTTCTCCGTGGTGTGTATTTTTCCAGTTAATCTTTATTTAGGGTGTAGGTTTTCTTCAAATTTTTTTCTCAAGGAAGAGTAATTTAGGTTGTTTCTAATTTTTTACTTGGTTTTGCCAGTAATTGGTGTTTTACGCAGATTTTTGAATTTTATAGTTAACATCATGAACTGATCTCAGACAACCATGGAAATCAGAAAGTGTGGGTTAGCTGTTTCGTCCTAGCGTAGGACCCACAAATGACATTGGAAGATGGTTGCGCAATATCGTGAGTTGACTGGAGTTGAACTTATAACCCATTGGTTATCCGCTTATTGGTTTGGAAGTTAAGTGTTTACCACGACATCGAATATCCTGAATTTAATCTCTAATGAGGTCGCAGACACGCGCTGCTGAGGAGTCCTATATTAGAATAGAGCATCTGTCCAGAGCCTTCTGCTTTCAATAACTGTCTAACTAATACCAGTCTACAATGTTAACTATAATTAGTACTCTACTGAAAGTTACGAACATAATATAGTCAGTACTTAAAAAAAGAAATGAAACCATTTTAAATACTTGAGATTCTGTTATTTGTTTTCATATGTTTATACATATATGCATCTGTATAAATGTGTATGGTTTTATTCTAATTCTATTGTATGAGACAATATTAGTCTATTTTTCTTAATTCACTTATAAATTCGACTAGAATTTTTCATTCAAGACAAAAAAGCAAAAAAAAAACAAATGAAATGAACTAAAAATAAATAAAGTTTTACGAAGTTATTAGACAAATGGTGAAATTTCCAATTTGTCTTTAGTTTATAAAGATATTTATCATGGAACACTTATATTAATTTCTTTTTCCCTAATGACTAATGCATAATATAGGCTTACCAATAATAATAATATTTAACATTGTTGCTATTACTATTATTCTGTCATTTCATTCTTTATTCATTAAAACGAAGTAAAAAACAACAAACAGTATTCGATTAAATAAGAGCGAATTATTGACAGATGATTTTAAACTAGAAAAAGAAGAAATATCTTATTCCTGTATTTTTTTTTGTGTGTGTGTATGTTGTTTTTACTTGTTTCTAAGTGGTGTTCTTGTAACCTCTTTTTTAAATAATAATTTTTAAAGATAATAAATTCATCAAGAGAAAAAGAAAAGTTTATTTAGAATAGTTCACATGTGAACTAAAATGATTATTCATAAAATATTCTAAATGATGATTATGTTCTTTAAAATGTTCTTTTTTTTCTTTTCTTTTCTTTAAAGAATATAACTATTTAAAAAAAAAGAAATAATGAGTCGATAAAAGAAAGGGTATATGTGTAAGAGAAAAGAGAATAGTGTTTAAAATAATAAACTAGATGGTTGATAATATCGTAGAGAAATTAAGAGTTTATTGTTTTAAAATCTGTTAAAATAATTAGTTTTAGTGTTTACAATTAATAAAAGAGAAATTTACAAATATATTTAAACTGTTCTCTAGTTGTCATGACTAGACTGTACGTAAAAACAAGAAAAGAGTGAATATCAGTGAATAGATTGTAATCAATATATGAAGGGAGTGTGTGTGTGTGTCTGAGTTTTAAAAATCCATATATATTTTCGAGTGTTAATCAAGTATGGATAAATTATTGATTGTGTGTGTATTACAATCAATGAGAGAATAGATTAAAAAATTGGCATGTGCTCAATCAAACTCACACAGAAATTTACACAGTGGATCAAGTGTCTAAATTACAGTGAACAAATAAAGAATACAGTAGTAGAATAGGCTTACTACAAGGGCATTTCGAAAGGGAGAACTGACTGTCCCCACTCTCGGCCGTATATGATAGTCGGAAGTATTTGAATTATAGTATGAACTAAGAATCTCAGAAATAACGTAATCAGATCAAGAAGTACTAGATAACCACAAACGAATGTACCGTATTTAGAGTTCGAAATCAAGCATTCAACAAGTACAAAGGAATCATTAGTTCATTCAAACACCACATCCGCAACAGCTTAAATTGGAGTCTAGGTGTAATCGATTGTACGTCTTCGCAATTTCATCCTGTGTCTGTCCGACGTTGTATTGGATAAAAACTATTACCTAGAATGCACTTATTAGTATTAGAATTAACAACTGAAATCGGAACAGACTCACCTGCTTTTTGGGATTGTGTAATCAGCATGTCGGTTGTGTACTGAAACTGCTGCTACCTAGAATTTGAACCATAGACTTTTAGACTATTCTCTTCCACGGATTAATGTTGGATCTTTATATCCCCAATTTATGGATGATGTGCCTTCATTTAAAACATATTTCTCACATTGGTTAGAGTGAACATTAGAAGTGACTTTTTGATAAGGATAAACAGCAGTTGATATGAAATCATCCGAAATGTAATCAAAATCGAGGTCATTTAATACTTGTGCTTCGCATTGAACAACTTTCCCACAAGAAACAAATGAATTATGAGGACATAATATTTGATAGAACATCAAGATTTGATTCTTCCGAATTACTTGAATTTATTAAGAATGTCATTGCAGAATAAAGGATCATTAGAAAAATCAGCATTTATCAAAACTACATCAGGTTTTTGATCATGATTAGGTTCATTGAACATATTTTCCTCAGATTTGCAAGGAATTTCGTCAGAAATAAGTGAATC